CGGCCGTACGATCTCGCTAGGGTTAATGATACTTGCGGCAGCACTGTCACTGTAAGTTGCCGTAGAACTCTCCTTCTGGGAGCATATAGGATCATTTGATCCGCGTAACATGTATTCCTGGCTGGGTTGTTGTACGTTCTGCGATCTGTAGTAATAATTGTAGTAGTGAATCGTAGTTTGACCCAGAGGAAAGCCGTATGAGCGCACGCATCCATCAATTTGCTCCCTCAGTACAGTATTAACATTTGACTGCCTATAGCTCTCTCCCCCCATTTAATGCTCCCGCTCATTTCACAGGCTTAATGCAGTAATCATCATCTGATAATTTCCAATACTTCTCTTCTTGACATTTTTTTTTGTACATGCTCCAGAAACTACATTATTGAAGGACTTGAACTAGAATCTGCGTGTCTTATTTATCCCATCCGTTCTTTTAAAAAAATCTGAAGGCTCTATGCGTTGAAAATCACACTCTTCACTTCTTGGTGTCCCATTCCCTAGCTTAAATGTGACAGTCTCATACGTTTCCTCTCTTGCAGAAATGGAGGACCCCTGTCTTTCTACGCAGCTTATTGATGGAGATGGTGTTTTCAATGTTTCTGGATTGGAGAGTTTCATGAAGGAAGTTAAATTGGCCGAATGTGGGCTCTCATACGCTGTTGTATCAATAATGGGCCCACAGAGTAGTGGTATGCGACACTCTTTTCCTCATCGTTTCCATCCTGCTTAACTTTAAGCCGTTAGATGTTATACCATTGGTCTTCAATCCCTCCCTCCTACCCCATCCGAATCTTTTGCAGGAAAAAGTACACTTTTGAATCATCTTTTCCGCACCAATTTTAGGGAGATGGATGCTTTCAGAGGAAGGTGTGTTGGCATTCTTCTTATATGCCTTCTCTATATATGCTTTCGCGGCTTTGATGGAATCAATTTACCCTCTACGCCTATTAACTAGCATTTATTTGGAACTTCAGGTCACAGACAACCAAAGGTATATGGATGGCGAAGGCCCAGAATATTGAACCGTGCACCCTTGTAATGGATTTGGAAGGCACTGATGGAAGAGAGAGGGGAGAGGTAATGAAAATCAAGAATTCCCCAATTCAGATTTGATTGAACGTGCAATATCACAGAACACACATGTTAAGATTCACCTTTTCCCCCAAAAAAATTACTAGATGAAACATTTTCTTCCTCCAATTTCATAGTTCTGAGTTAGGGGGTCAGCCAGGGCATCTCCAGTAAGCCACATTATAGCTCTTCCAGTTTGCAAGCCTGCAAGGCCCCTCCCATCGGTTTCTTGCATCATATTGCCAACTTGTAGTGTAAGGAGAGCTCTAGTTTGAGTAAACTTTATCGTATGTTTCATGTTTGTGTCTGGACTTCTGCTTGTAAGCTCACAAGCTGAAGCTAACCCCGACCCCTGTGATTGCTTGCACACATCAGGGTATGAGATGGTTGCAAGTTACTACGTTTTGCATTATGGAGTTTTTTATTCCACATTGTATTTGCCTAATTCATCCACAAAATTTCAGGATGACACAGCCTTTGAGAAGCAGAGTGCATTATTTGCTTTGGCTGTTTCGGATATTGTGTTGATCAATATGTAAGTTTGTTTTTCTAAGTGATGGATGTTGAACCTATAATTCCCTAAATTGGACACTATATTTAATTGATCGTTTGCTTTTATTCCTTAGGTGGTGTCATGATATTGGGAGAGAACAGGCTGCGAACAAGCCTCTTTTGAAGACTGTTTTCCAGGTTAGTTTGTTAAATACGCAGTGGGGTGTTTCTGTATTAACTCTTTAGTGGTGTGGAGGCATTATTATGCCCTAATATTTCTTCTGTCTGTACAGGTCATGATGAGATTATTCAGTCCTCGCAAAACAACAATGCTATTTGTTATTCGTGACAAATCAAAGGTGAGCACTGGCAGGGTGCATTTTAGGATGCAATGAACTATGATATTTTCCAAAGCAACTGCCAGTAATCTTTTTTTTTTACTTCCTGAACCTAATTTTGTGTATGGTGATATATACAACCTTTCTGGTTTTAAACAGACACCTTTGGAAAATCTTGAACCAATTTTAAGAGAAGATATTCAGAAGGTAATTTACTTCCTGGTAGCCTGTGTCCTACTTAAATCTGACATTCGTTGTGTTTTCAGTATGCTAAATTGTTTTCATCTGTTTGCAGATATGGGATGGTGTTCCTAAACCCCATGCCCATAAAGATACTCCACTCAGTGAATTTTTCAATGTAAAATCCATTACCTTAATTATATTTGTTTGTTGAACTTGTATGCATCTGCTAGATTTACTCACTATCCAGAGTATATGTTTTCCACATACAGGTGCAAGTGGTGGCCCTTAACAGTTATGAGGAAAAGGAAGAGTTATTTAGAGAGCAGGTTGGTGTAACTACAATGTCTATTACTATATGATACTCCCTCCGTTCCAAAATCGATGACTCAACTTTGTACTAACTTTAGTACAAAGTTGAGTCATCTATTTTGGAACGGAGGGAGTACTAGGTAGATGCTTGCTGCTGATTTTCTTAGAAATATGAATAACACAATACATTACATTTCTGAAGGTTTCCAACTTGAGAGATAGGTTTCAACAGTCTATTGCTCCTGGTGGACTTGCTGGAGATCGGCGTGGTGTTGTTCCAGCATCAGGTTTTTCATTTAGTGCTCAGCAATTTTGGAAGGTTATCAAGGAGAACAAAGACCTTGACCTACCTGCTCATAAAGTGAGTATCATCCTCCATTTTCTAATTCAGCTATTGACATGATGAATATTGAGATATTTTTTTATGCATCAATTTTTTAGGTTATGGTGGCTACTGTGCGTTGTGAAGAAATCGGTCATGAGAAAGTTGCCACTTTTACAGCTGATGAGGTGATTATACTGTATATTATTAAGCTTAATAAATGCTGCATAGACTCATAAAACCAACTGATACTATATATTTATATGTATTATGTATAAAGGAATGGCAACAATTTGAGGAGGCTGTTCAAAGTGACTATGTACCAGGTTTCGGGAAGAAAATCAGCAGCCTGCTTGATAGATGTTTATCAGAGTGAGTTCATTGCCTTTTTATGGTCAATAGTGTTCCCTTTATTCTGGTTTTGGTATGTCCGATGTTCAGAAACTTATGTGGATTGGTTACAGCAAAATTTATCAGCCAGGCTGGTTGGTGGTGGGATCTCAAGTACCAGTCAGTTGGTTCTAGATTCTAGTCAAGTTGGTGAAATACATAGTCACACATATTTTCAGTAAATTACTGCATGCCATACAGTTAAGAACCCTGCGTGTGTTCCTTTTGTTTGTATCAATAACAAACACTGGCCATCCCAGGTTCTGGCCACCGGGCCACCCTTACGAAGGTGCAATTCTCCTTTTACAGGATATATGGCCCATTAGTTAGCCTAATTTCATGGGTTAGTAAAGGCAGGCTGAT